AAGCAGCTGACGTCCAAAAGTTCCTTTTATTTCTGGAACACATGCGTGTAGCTCATGAGGAAAGAGACTTGCAACAAATTTGTAGGTTCTACTTTTGGATCGAACCCGGGACCTAGAAATGGTACTCCGTTCCACTTGACCCCTCGAAACAAACGGCTGATTTGTTTCTAGAACCAATCGCCGCTCTTCAACCTTGGTAACTGCGCAACCTATGCTCTTAGAAAACGGGGGGCGATGAACCAATCGATCAGGTACCATCGGGAGAAGTGGTCGACTAATTGTATTTGGCGCAACCGGATGGACTCATCAGCTGGACAAGCAGCTGACGTCCAAAAGTTCCTTTTATTTCTGGAACACATGCGTGTAGCTCATGAGGAAAGAGACTTGCAACAAATTTGTAGGTTCTACTTTTGGATCGAACCCGGGACCTAGAAATGGTACTCCGTTCCACTTGACCCCTCGAAACAAACGGCTGATTTGTTTCTATACCAATCTACGCTCTTCAACATTGGTAACTGAGCAACCTATGCTACATGTGTAATCCTTTGACGGCACCAATGAACACAAATAAACAGTGTTCCCTTACCTTAAGCGTATGGTGGTCACACATCACAATAACTGATTTTGCTTTCCAATGCTGTTGAGGCCGAAAGTTTTTCGTCCAACTTCGAAGCTGGTGGTAATTTGTTCATTATTCTGGACCTTTCAGGCGAGCCATTCTGTTCTTCGAACTATTCCACGTACTGAAGCAGTCGAGGGATCTATAGTCTACTTTTGAGCCGTCGTTCTCTGTGGCAACTTCACTGGCTGGCTGTCACGGATAGGTTAGAAAAAAGTTCAACTATTCCCAGTCGCTCCCACCTTTTTTACTTCTTTGGTTTTTTATGGTCATCACTTTCCCTGGTCAGTTTTGAGATTGATGAACAGATATTTCTTCAGAAATCTCGCTCAATGGTATTGTCGTACAGGTAAGGCCGCCTTCCTCTCCTCGATCAGGAACGTGGATTACTGTATGATCAAACGTGAGTCCAAGCATGACCTTGTTTCGGGACGCACCCAGTCAAATGTTGAATTCATATCGTTTCGGATTTCAAACCAGCCTTTATTTGGCGACCGGTTTCTGTAGCGTTTGTAAGCTGTCTAGGCAGCTGCTGTTGACAGACTTCTTGGATGACTGAATCTTGCACGTAGTGAATATCCTAATGGTGAATGTTTTTTGGCCGCTGGTGAACAAACAACCTGCAACAAACAACCAAGACATGATGTGACTCCGTAGGTGCTGCGAAAGAAACATCAGTGCTGAATACATGATCACATTCTATGACTAATTACTATGTGATCAGCCTGAGTAATAGATTGATCACGGTAACACGATTTTTGCTGACAGTTCGTGTTTGCGATAGATAGAAGCTATCGTTGTAAGTTCTAGAATCCCCCAACTCTTCCGCACAGAAGGCTCTCATGCTTGTCAACTCTTTCCAAACACCATTTAAAATCATCAGTTAGGCTAGCGATATATGTACACTGCCGTCCAAATGGGTTCAGTAATTTCTCCTTAAAAAACGTAGTGAAAGTGTAACCGCTATACTTTGTGAGGGTTATGCAGAGGTAGTGAAAAGATTTCGGTGTAGTGTCGTTAGTTTTGGATTCTGGTAGACCAAACCATAGCCTCTGGCGTAACACTCTGATCCGCGAAACAACAGATATTCGAGTTTTCTTGGTAGATACTACCTGGAGACAGTGGCTGAATAGTTTAACTCACATAACGACGGAAGGCATGCCCAACCAGAAGGCGCAAGCAGTAAAACACAAGTGTCCGACTCTTAACGCCTTTTGAATGGCGCTAGAGCTTTTGGAAGACATTTTCATCATTCTGAATGGTACATTGGTTGTCACCGTCAGGCTCTGAAAGAGTGAAGTGTGTACCTTTTAGAGCCGATCTTTTCTAACTTATTCATCCTCCGGGGAGGTGGCATTAAGCTTCCATAAAGGTGAATATGCTGGCTTACTGCGGTGTGCAACTCGTCGCTCTTACACTCATTGAAGAATTGGTATGACGTTATCCGCAGACCATCTGTTCCTACAATTGCTGTTGTTATTATCTGCTTTTTGTCTAGTTTTTTTCTCTGTGACCCTCCGGGCCAGGTTCAACATAGAGTAAGGAAGTTTTTTGCCAGTTTGGCCAGTTCGTTCAATATCTGCTCCGCTCAATGAAGTTGCACGGATGATGAGTCTCACAGGCTTTAGTTTATGGTCATTTTGACACAATGAACCACACAGAAAGTGGACAGTTGAATCCGAGTTGGCATAACAGATTTTGAAAACTGCTTGCTTGACGCAGGAGCCATTTACTAATCTTACAAAAATTGGGGTTGTTCATAATTCGGCAACACACACTCCCCTAGCAGGAGGGAACACAACTGGGTTTACTTCTCTTTGAGGTTATAATTTCAAGATAATTTGAAGGATGAATCAAATGACACATGAAGGCCTTCAGAGAAGTAACAACAAACTCCATTATGTTGAGATTAATATGAACTCCGGAACCCAGTTGTTCAACCCTTGTCAAAATCGAGTTTCTGGCAACAGCTTTCACTTCCTTTGTGCTTCATGAAAAAAACACATTTCAAAGACATTCAATATGAAATATCACCTCCAAATAAGCATTTTTCGATTGGCATTACTGAACATGTGTATACATATACACAACTTTTTTTAATAGTCACCCAAATAATACAGTCAAATGACATGTTTGACACTTAAAAAATAGGTCATTTCAATACTTACGACAGGAACATGACCATACTTCTAATACAATCGAGTTTGCCCAGTTTGCTTGAATTCAGGTGAAGTATGGGTGCCGCCGCGTCACCAAAGACACTGTCATTCCACAAAGAAAGGACAAAAAGGACATGCATGGTTTTATGGAAAGAAAACGCTTATCACAACCCACTAACCGGTGCCCACAGCAGACCTACCTTGGAACCAAATAAATCCAGTTCCCTCAGTTTAGCACGTTTATTGTCTGCCTAACTACATAAGGTTTCGAGTGCTAGCACAATCACTGTAAGAGCTCTCGTATTAACGTTCGAATGTAAGTTCATCAGCAAATCATATCCATATCTAGAATTACCCATGGCCTCAAACAAAAACTTCCGTCTTTTTTACTCGCGTGAACTGCTTGAGAATACCATTGCTTTACCCTTATGAAGACCGTGTGCCATTTTTCATGTGCAGATGCTGATCGTTTGAAATGTGATCCACTATCATCTCAGAAGGCGTATGCAGAAGCTGAGGATGATCCCGGTTCCATAAGGTTCTGTGCTTGGGATTGACCTCACCGTGTAATCCATTAGAAAACCTCAAAAGCTTGGCCCCTTTGTCGAATAATATTGCATACTAGAAAGTGACATGGTTCAGGTAACCGTCCTTTGTTGATCCAAATGATCTCACTCGGCTTACTCCTTTGAAATGACAACAACTCAGAATATATCTTACTCCTGCAATCATATTCTTTTTTGGATCTTAGAATTTGCATTAATGCTACAAAAGCTACTTTTGCGCCATAGGTAAGGTGATTGGAGGACATATCTAGTATGCAATTTAAGCATCCTAATATACTGAATGTGGATGTGCAAAAAACTAAATAGTTTAAGAGCACTCCTGAATGCACATGTATGTATTAACTAAGTTATGCAACCTCAGGTGTCTCCTTGAATTGCTCAATATGAAAAGCCTGCCAGAGAAACCTCTCATCCTTGTTTGGGGGACTCTCACATGGGAGATTAGTTCTGGGTCCTCATGTGACTGCTCTTTTTTCCCTCCCTAAAGGAAAAGGAACGATTGCTTCTTGAATAGCACGATCTAACTGGAGACCCCAAAATTACTACGTGAACTATTAGGGCGTAAACTTATGTCGCCAAAACCACTATTAAGCCCCTATCGTTTCCTATTGAACGTGCGTCGGCAACAGAAAATTCGTGTCAGTCACCACACTGTCCTAATTTTGTGATATATTTGGGTTCTTGAAAAGTGTTAAGCATGGGTAAGTGTGAAACTACACGCTGCGGTTATTGATTTTTATCCTTTTGTCGTGCGATGTTTTGTAGAACAGCATGACAATGTTCATGTAGTTTGGCGGAAGGCGTTTGGATGAGGAAGAACATCTAACACGGCAATGGAATTCTTGTCGTTAATTCACGTGAGAAGCCGAGATGACCACGTTACGTGCAAACTAAAACCTCGTTGTGTAGTTGATGTGGCATTCGTTAAATTATTGCAATAATCTGGCAGCATATCACTCCTAGATAAAACTAATTAGTAATCCAATGTGAAATTAAGGCATTTAATAATTGAGCAACTATTTATTATTGGTTTTGAATCTCGTTGATCCCGTTTCCCTTCCTAATCTCTGAAGTAAAACTGCATTTAGCAAGTGTTGCCGTGGGATGTTACTTTGCTGAATAAGTGGACGAAGATGGTATTTTTTCGATTAAGTCACTCACCTGTAGTGCACTATTTGTGCATATCTGGCATGCGACCAGATTGGAGCAAAAGGCTGAGACATTGACACTGAAATTCGAGGAACCACAAGCTGAGAAACTCACAAAGTTATTGAACGTATTAACTACGGTGGGTAATGGTTTTGATACATCTGAACCAAGTTGAAGCTATTTTGGGACCAATGAGAATAAAATTCGCTAATCCTAGATACAGTGCTCAGTTTATGTCAGGGTAGACTAAATAACATATCTTGCCGGGGAACCTCATATCGTGCGTCTGCACATTCTGGAAATTTCATCGAAAGGACCTAGGGTATATAAAAACCTTTCTAACATAAGGGTGTAGTGATGTAAGATCAATGTTGTTATTTGAAAGAAACAATCATTCAGGTTCGGGTTATTGAAAAGAAAGTTATTTGAGGCTCCTTACAGTACGTGAGATAGATAATTTCCTCTATCAGATGAGTCATAAGCCTTATCTCTCTTTCCCAAGGGCCCATGATTCAGGTTGAAAACAATCAAGTTCTGCTATTCAAAATCAACAGATTACCACAAACTTCAAAGATCCTTGGGGCGGAGCTTCATTACCTTCATTCTTCTTGCCAGGAAATTCAGTGCAATCATTCTGACAAAAAAGGCAGACGTTCACCCAGATATCTGCACGTGAGTGTCTTATGCTGAACCCCATTCTAATTTTTTTCCATTGAATGTTATCAGCGGTAGTTTACAAAACTTTGATTAAATGTCAAAATTGGTTTTGTTGAGTGGACTTTCATTTCTGAGTTGTTGGAAGCAAAGTAAAGCATTAGAAAGTGTTTACGTTAAGTTTATTTGATAGGAAGGAGTGACTTTTCATTTCAATGTACTCAGGATTTTGCCAGACTCCCAAATGTTTAAGCCAGAATGAAGGGCACAAGTTTTGAGACTAACATTTTGGTTGACATAATTACGCCGATAAGCAATAATTTGGCAGATGACGGGGCTGTCGGATAGGGTTGGGGTGACCAATGTCTGCCGCCAGAGACTATGATTCACCGTACGGTAAAACCTTGTGACCGTTCATGATTTTCTACGTTTCTAAAGTTAGAGAATAGAAAAGAACACATCGCTTTTATTTAAACCATAAAACAAGACTTACTCCTAGCTGGTGAAATTTCAGTTCGCGGTCCTGGAAGATAGCAAAGTAGAGTAATACACAAAAGAAACCATCATCCATTGAGGCATCAAAGTTCTCCTGCGATGGCTCAGTCTCGCGGATTGTGAGGAACATCATGGCCGGTAAAAAACGCTGTTATTTAGTTCCACAGGAGAACGATGGCTTCCTTTTAGCTATAAATTGATGTGTCATTTCGCCTTGCTTTCGAATAGTGGCAGTAATAGGTTTAAGATTTTGCCCAACAAAAAAACGCTGTGCCTTTCGCAGGCTCTCTTCCGAGTTTGGGTCATCTTCCCGTCCTACAGACTTTATTAAAAATCTTCGCAAAGGAACCCCGAGGTGAACTGTGTATTGAACATTACACGGAAGAGTACTAATATGCTATTTCTACGAAGGAATGCATTAAGCCCGTGCCTCCAGCAACTCGATCAAGTATACGAGCTCAAAAGTAGACTTCTGCTGTGCAACGTTATGACATTGCCTCAAAGAAGGAGGCAAAAACTACTAAACTCCTCCCTTCTCCATGACTTTTCTTCGTGACTTTGTGACTCTTCACCATTCCTCTCCTAGCTGCACAAAGTTTGTCAAAACAACCTGCATACTGTGAAGTTGTGTGGGATAAATTTTTATGTGACTTCATTGTTCAGTGCTTGAATGATCGGTAGATCCAGCAAAAATGTGAACCTCGTTTGCGACGGTGACAGGCTAGAGCTGATTTCAGCTTGTTTCTCAAAAAGTGACTACTGAACCAGCCGTATTCAATTTGTATCCCTTTGGGCGATTGCTGCTTATGGCAGATTGAGTACTTGCATGAAGTGGGTAACTCCACTGGCCGTTTAAGGTAGACCCAGTGTGAACCCATATGTGCACATTAGAACCCGATGTAAACCCGCCGAAATAAAAACAATTAGCCAAAATAAGGAGGTAGACAGTTTAAGTGTTGAATTACACAATGCAAGCCCTGGATTAACTGTTGACACAATCTATCCAAATTGCAATTAAGACATTTACGTATGATCAGAGAATCTAGGCGTCAATCGACCAGGGCCCCATACTTGTGGAGCATTTCAAGGATTGGGAACTGAGCCTTCGTCGTTTCGTGGTGAGTTGTTTCCTCCCTGAAGCTCGAATGATAGAACAACTGCATTTTCACACCCTAAACAGGGTGAACCAGTGGTCTGAACTGGCCACCTACCAGACACATTTATTCTACATAACTTTTGGAAATGGTTTGTTTCGGTAAATTCCGTGCAGCATGAATTACATAAAGCACCAGCGCAGGCTCAGCTCCTTTGTTGACCATGATACAGCAGGACATTTAAGTGCCAGTCGTCTGCAAAAGATCTACCATGCCTGCACAGGCAACTTATCAGTCAATTCTTTCAGGCAGTATATAACAACTCTGAGTCGTATCTGTACCTGGACTTCTAGCTAAACAGTCCTCTGTAGCATATTTTATACTTCATTTATGATATCCAGATTACCAGGATGCCTGATTGCCAGAGTTCCTCTCATTTTATTTGTGAATAGGTCTTTGGCTTGACTCTGTCCGACATACGTCTTTACACAACCGTAGATACTTGAGAAGTCATACGACTTCCATTACTTCACAATAACCGTACAGATGGTCTCCTTAACCGTTATTGCTCTCTCCAGACTCACCCTTAGGCATATGTACATAAACGCCTGACAACTATTGGGCATTAATCGAGCTTAGAATCGAAATGCCGATGACCCGCATATTCAAATGGCCGACGTTATGCAGACAGCCTGCTATTCAGGATCTGTCTCCGGTTTCTCCACAGCCTTTCCATGCATTACCATCAAGATCTCTATTTCTCCAGGTAGAGAGAGTATGCCTAAGAAAATAAGCAATCATCTCTTGTTCCGATGCACATACTAGTGATGTATAACCCACTCAGTGAATTTTGGTGCTCAAAAAATGAGTCCTACCAACGCATCACACAAAATCGTTTGATGCGTCCTGATTTTCCATAAAGTCTCGTTCGGTTCTGCGAAAGTTTTCCTCCAGAACTGCCTGAACAATAGCCAGAAACAAAGGGTGAAATATACAGACGTAAGGATATAATATATGTCGCCGATGACCTCAAAGCTAGACCAATTTGCCTGTATTTTTCTCTTTAATCCATCAACTGGATTTCATTTTAAATTCTCTGGTTGAATCAGCATCACTTTTTCTAGATTGAGAATGGAATGATACAACCCCATCATACTGCTATCAGGAAAACTGAACTAAGATAGATAGGTCGGTTAACTATTCGCCCTAGTGGTGTTAGCGCATCCAATGTTTCAGTCCCAAAGGGATGAATCTTATTTGGAGAAAAGGATGTACCGCATTAATGAGCTTTATGGAGGTTTGACTGTATCATTATCATTACCCGGTAGGCCTAGCCGACAAGTGACAGAACTTGAAAACGCAAACTGTGCAGTTGTTCTTTCTCCTAGTGAGTTCGATGAAGTTATTTTATTATAACACCGCCCAAATGGCCAGTAGTGCAAGTGTTTCTTTATATTGCCATAGTCAAAGCCCTCCATTATCTTTCATAATGAAATAAAGTATGCATAAAAGCTTCCAATAGGTTGTGCATATGGTACTGGAGTACGCAAAAATTTAGTAGTAATGTGATTAGGCACCTCAGAAGCAGAGCTGAATGTCAAGTACACAAGTTGCTCGACGGGACCATTGAGCTATCACAGATTACTATATAAGTCTGAGTGTAATCTAGAACAAGGTTACGGAAACTTCAAAAAATTTATCTCCGAAAATTCGACAATTTATTGGCAAGCGTTCGTGGAATTTATAGGACATCACCTTGATTACTGAAAAGAGTAGGTATGCGTAAAATCACCGGACTTCGGTCATTAGAAGAATTTGCGGTTGATTACTGTGTTGATTTTGCTCAGTTTCGGAACTCCAATTCACTGCGATCATTCCGACATAAGACCATTCATCAAAAAACGCCAGACAAATGCATTTTGATCCCATTTTTCACCAAGCCGATCACATATGCATCGAACGACTGGTTGCTAAATCGGAAAGTAGCCACCGTATCACTGAGCCAATAATTATCGTGAATCCGCTCAAAATGAACTGTTAATGTCGTGTGTAGCTCAGTAGAGCCTCCAAACTCAAGAGGAACGGCATTCAGAAAATTTGTCGAAGTCATTTATTGTGAATTGATGATAGTCGTAAAAACATACTGGTTGTGTATCATTTGTATCCGGTTCACTTATGAGCTAGCTTCAGGTGTACGAGCCGGTGCTGGTGTTCCGAACCAGAAGTTCTCACCAAACGCTTAGGTGTCTGCAGATATGGACACATTTGGGTGAAAGGCCCCATGTGTTTGTGCATCTGTCTGGTCAAGAGTGTACCGCAATTATCAAAACTCTTTTCACGGAATATGCATTCATGATCGAAAACGTATAGCTAAATTATTTTGCTGCAGTATAAAACGCATGGGCATTCCGGAAATCAGACTTGTATGTATTCTGACACTACCACACAAGTCACATTTTCTTGTTCAAGGCCCGCTCATTCGTCACCCGCCCCGGTCAAGTCAGATCATAATATGATCTCCTTACGTTATGATGAGATTATGAAACGTTCATGCTAAATTTATTTTCGATAAGTCTTCAAATTGCGTTATTCATCTGGTTGGTTGGCAATCCTTAGACAACCCACTGTAGCTCCTTTTTCTGTTCAGGAGTACAACTTATATTGTACTTATCCAATAACTCTAAATATGCACAGGCATTTATAAGATGGTATATTTGTGATCCGAGTTGCACGTTTGGCTGCAGACACAGTAGCTTCTATTTTCGTAACGGTACATGCTACTGGGGGAATCAACGTATAGTATCTGTTCAAAGCAGTTCACAGCCCCGTTCTCGCGGCCAAACGACAGATAAAATGGAGTTTCCGGTCTGTAAGGGCTTCTTTGTTTCATTCAGGTTATCCTCAAGAAGGCTCAGGAATGCGCCTAAGAACATTGGGTTTCTCAAACTCCTTACTTTCATATCCAACTACTTGCAACCGCTCTGTCTCTGAGTAACTAGCTCCATATCCGAATGCGTACTTCCTTAGACCAAAACCACACAGCTATTTCATAACAAACTGTCCGAGTGACAGTGCTTTGGACCATGCCAAGGCTGTTGATTGTTTGGATAACATAGTTGCTTGAGAGGAATCGGCTGGCGATGAGATGTTTCATGAAAGATCGCCCGGTTTATGGTTGCAAGGCATGAATTATGATAGTGCCTATCACACTCTTTGAGGTTTGACAACTGCTCCTAGTTCCAGATAACTTCCAGCTTTGAGTCACTCTGCGGGATGAAGAAAGGTATGTCGACCCTCTTCCATATCACTTTCTCTTCGTAAAATAAGAAACCTATTCAAAAGCAAAATTTGCACGGTAAATGTTTACGAATATTTCACGCTGTTCACAAATGGCCGGAATAAAAACACGTTGGCGTTTGCCATGGATAGACAAAGATTTTCCAGCTACCCACATAACCGTTTGAAAGATATCAACGTAGCACTCGAGGGACCGTGTAGACCAGCGTTTCCCGAGAACTGACAGACGTCCGATATCTTGCGATTCATACTGGTCAACTAGGCTAACTATAAACGCTAAGTAAAGATTTCGTAGTTAGTCACTGATTGGTCTGTTTTCATGGTATGGTGGTTGCACAAAAACTTAGAGACGAAACGTCCTTTGTAACCGTCTAGTCATTCTCAGGGGCATTTCTCACTTTCGTTCGGTGTAAGCTGTTAAAGTGTTTTTCCTCTAACTAAGTGGGAACAGACCACATCAACTGTCAAAATTAGGATTGATATGTTACAAGTAGGTTGTTTTAACGCGAGACTGTCCTGTGTGTTTGAGAATCAGCAAAATGGCTTCCACATAGTTCCAAGGGGCCGAAATGTTCCGTAAAAGGCTTCACAGTCACATGTTCCATCCTATTTGAAGAGATTGACAACTGTTTGACTGATTGAAGCTTGGCCGTAAGCTGTAAGAATTGTCAGTGATCTGGTGTAGGCTACGACTTCACTCCAGCTAGCAGGAATATGCCAAGATAGTGCACCACATTTCCATCTTTTATTCGGCTTACTGTTAGGATTCCTTGAAGTGACGGCAAATGTACTTTAAATATACTCAATACGACTTCAGTTGACTTCTAAAATGGGGTAACGGCAGAGAACTGTTCAGTTTTTTAACAAATAGCATGTCGTTAAAGTGTCACCAAACAATCCGCATGCCGAAATTTCTGGAAACAGCTGTGACTAAAGGGCAACCGCAATACAAGCACAGCTTAAATCGAATTTTCATGATCAGTCTTGTGGTGCTGCAGTGTTTGCATGACCGGCTTTTCAGTCACTGTTGACGAAACAAAAAAATCATTGTGGACTAGATCGGAATACCAATCGTTAATTTTCAATTTACAGTGCATGGAACACTTGCATTCAAGTTTTCGGAATTGAATTTAAAATTTGGAAGGAATTGTAGACGGCATTACTCTGTATTTAAAACATTTGGTTATCAAACTGCCATGATATATATAAGCAAATGTGTATATATAATGCATACACTCGAATCTGTTGTGTTACACCTTGAAAACTCGCGGTCCCCCGTAGATGGTTTACGTTCTGCTCGGAACGACCATGCTCTACATTTTTCAGTGAAAATTTAACCTTAAAATATCGAAATATGCATATGTTGCGGTTCTTTATGTATATCCACATATTTCGGAATATGGTCCGCTGATTACCACTGTGGGCAGACTTTGATATATCACACCCACAAAAACTTGACAGGTGAACACTAAAATCAAACCTTTTTGCTCTTAAACACTGTTTCAAAGATTCTCTCTTACCTAATGGATAACGGACCTGCTTTTGATTGCTTGCTGGTGGTGGTGCTGGACCTGATATACTTTGACTGCCCCAACCTCAGTCAAACCTTGATGTAAATCACGAGCGGTGTGGGCCAGTTGTCCAACTAATGCGTCCAGTATGCTCTGAAAACTTTTGGTTTGATCCTTTTTGTTTAGCAAGCATGATGTATTGGCTTTAAAGCTGGAATCCCTATTGGTCACCGGTCTTATATCAACAGGTTTATGTAACTAAGCGCTAAGGATTTTCCATGAATGAGTTTGCGCAAAGGGTATGAACTAAGGTGTGAACTACCCTACCCAAGATTCTATTGGATTGATGAACAAGTGTATTCCGAAGCGGATACAAGCTGCCTGTTGCCTTGCCTCCCAGTACAGCGTTAAAAACCCAGTGTAGCAACTAACTGGCTGTGACCTCTGAAATTGTTGACTTCAGCTTACGTAACACACATGTTATATGTACCTTCTTGAATCTACTTTCTTTAGCAAACAAAACTCTCCCAAACATGGGTAAGGTTTGCTGCTCTGTTGGGTGGATTGAATTCGCCAAATGAATTACAGATTGAAGAAAAATCTTATGGTTTGCGAATAGCAAAACAACGACCAACAAACCGATGTCCTATTTATGAGTCTTCTGTTAGAAGCCTTAGGCAATTTTACTAATTTAAAATTTATTCAGGTAATCGTATTCATTATGGGGATTTTTTCATTACTCAGACTGTCGAGTAGATAAGGTTGCCGCGGTCGTCCACATTCAGTGGAAACTTATGCGCTACACAAGCCAGCCTTGCCACACTGAATGCAACTGACATTTCACACATTGAGAAATAGTTCATCAAGACACAACCAATGCGAATGAGGTACTTTAGCGGATGACCCATAGTGATCCACCTGATGTTAGTACATTTTGGCTTAGGGCCCACAGAGGAAGGACACTTTGTGGAATATGTCCACTTGTTTCAGAACGTTCACGAGTTTCACTTAGCATTCACTCGACAGTATTCACCTGGTGATGTCAGCATTACAGTGCTGCTTCTTTGTCATTTCTATGTAAATATAAGGGATAGACTTGCGATAAGAGACAAATTTGGACGATTATACGTCCAAAGGAATTACAGAATCAGTTTGAAGAAACACCCCACTCAAAAGTTTGCTGAAAACTGATACACCGTTCAAATCCGGTTTCGCCCTTTTTCGATAGTCACAATCCCCGAATTTTTACCGACCTTTGTGTTCTGTCTGTACTTGTACGCATTTAGCGAAATACACCATTTTGCACGCTCAGTTGGTGTTAACGGGAAACTCGATAGAATCCCAGCTGAACCTTTCCTATTTGACATTCCTCAAATGAATGCGCTGCCTCATGTCTCAGCTGGCTGGGATTCAGTTGAACTCGTCGTTAAAATTGTAGTGATTGTGGTTCTCCAACTGCGCACAAGTTGGGTTCAAATAGAACAGGGCTGTGCTCATCTAATGAGCTCAAAAATGGACAAAACCGGTCATGGACTGTCGAAAAATGCTCATCGACTTTATGAGCAATGTGTTTCGTCAAAATACTGTGACAACTCGAATACTGTAGCAGCTGCGCAACAAATTCACTTGACGGTATCATAAGCGAAAAATTTTGCTGGGTTTCAGTCAAGTCTCTTGTTGAAGCTAAATTAGCTTAGTTCCTGGCAGGAATCAGATGTTCATAAAGGACATGTAACAGATTATCAGTACCGTACATTTTTTTACCGAAAGAGCCATTGATAATTTGCTGCATATACAGGTCCCAAAACTGGAATCGGTTTCAAAAATGCATTCTGTCAATTTTAGAGGTGCTATGCAAAGTGAAAAACTTGTTGATGTACCTGTAAGATCCCATTACTTCCCATGTGTTTCCAGTTCTGCTTTCACCAGTCGGTCGCAAACCAACCACTGCAGCTCATCGGGAGCAGGCGTATCTTCACAAGACCCAACAGATGGATGGTAATCGAGCTCAACAATTCGGTAATACTCAGCAGTGAAGCACAGATCAGTAAGTTCACGAGTTGATATGATGCTTGAGTAACTTGCGTGAGGCCGTGCAATATGTGGTTTCTGCTCTAATTCAGTTGAACTGTGGGAAAACCGATACACCTTATTTTAATCGGAGTAGCAGGTAGACAATCTATCGTCTGTGTGAAAGTTGATATCCTTTACCAGCGGAACTTTTTAATGGCTAGCCGATTTGCTGGTTGTGGTACTGAGACCTAATCTTCCTTAAAGACCTTCCTTAAGACCTAATCTTTTACTTCCTCTGATTTGTCAAAGAAAAAGTGGAAGATTCAATTCCAAGAACCTGTTAAAGCGCATTTTCGTAGCAGCGTCCCTGACCGACAGTAACGTTATTTTGCAAATGAGCTGAGAATAACAAAACTTTTGGAAAAATTCCCATGAAGCAACTCGGAGAGGATTTTCCAAACATCACCCTACCTATTTTCTGGTCTGTTGGCCTACATTCGCGGTTTGATTACATACGTTTCGTCGCCACTCTAGGTGACATCCTCAGTGCGATGCCCCCCGATGATGTCACCTCGACTGGCAACGAGACGTTGGAAATTCAGCTGCCAAGCTCGACAAAAAGCTCAACAACAAAGAAGCGCACCCAAGCTGCCTACATTGTACAACACTGACAATAAGGTTGATACAAACTTCGTCAATCCACTATTAATTCCGCACTTTTTTGGACTCATCAGCTTGACTTGGCCTTGTTTCTTGCTTGAGCATTTAATGTTACGCATTCAAAGTGATTCACTCAAGTTTAAATCAAGTTGATGGAAAAATAATTCTTATTAAGATATTTTAAGTGAGAAGCAAGCATTTTTGCATCTTTTCTTCAAGAAGTGGTCATATACATGTTTCTTAGGATATCCTGGAGAACAGTGACTTGTGACCGTAGCATATGATGGAATTTGTATGTGTACAGACCATGGTTAAACTCAGTTTACCATATCACTTCTCAGCCACCCTCATCTCGTTCGGGATAAACCCTATTCAAAAGACAGTCATTTTGGGCTGATATTTTGAAGATTCTAGAAGAGATTGTGATGCACCGAAAACACCATTTGTGTTTGATATTTTTAGTGGACAATGAACATGGTTCCATTTGGATAAAAAATCACATTTTAAGACCCTTCCTGATTTCCGAATTGTGTTCGGCTGTACTGTATTCAGTCGAACGCAAGCTAGATGCTAGAGAGTGAAGAACCATCTCTATGAAAAACCAAGAGAGGTATTCCTTCATGAGCTTCCAGTTTCAATCCAAATTTCACTCCATCTTATTAGGGTTATCCTAATTGGGTGGCAGTCCCTCTTTGGGGAAACTTAGTTGTACACATAATCAGCGTGGTAAGACTTTTGCCAAATGTATTACTGACAAACCGGACGTTTTGAATGGGGTTTGTCTTCACGATTATTCCGTATGGGCAAATCTGGGAAGAAATCACCTGACCCGAATGCACAAATGACTAGCCGCGTACACGGACTATGAAGCTCACTATGTGAAGATCATTTGTAAACAAATCGAAATCCTTAAGCTGTAACACCCTTTTAGTGCCAACTTCCGTTTTAGCCGAAGGAAGCACGAAGACTGGGACACTGCCAGGGTGTCCGGGGAAGTCTAGAGGCAGAGGTCAAACCACGGACATTCCGGTCATCAACTTCGATCTCCAACCATTCTGCCATCTCGCCCCATTTAAAGTTGGGTAATGTAGGCTGACCGACAGTTAATTATCAGTTTTCGATGACGAAACCTGACAATTCGAAACAGCGTAGACAAAATGAACCTCAGGTATTAATTTGAAAATGGGTTGATCATAAAACATGGGTAAGAAAGGTTACATCCATACATCACGCCGACAAAAACACCTACCAGTGTATTTCCACGCTTGATGAAAAACTGGCAATGAAGCAATCATTTTACATCGTAAATAATGCATAGAAATATCATAGTTTCACCGTAATACCTTGTCGTATGCTCATCATGTGGTGTCTAATAGGAAATGAACAGTTATAGGAGACAAGAAATCAGTCCATTCGTTACTGGTTTGAACGCGCTAATCAAGGCAATTTTTTGTAACAGCACTTTCGCTTACAAGAATAAGTATGCACAGACAGATGAAGAGTTACACCACAAATGTTTTACTCCATGAAAATTGGTAATAAGAAGGTGGATGAAAATGAAACCCATTGCTACCGGGAGACAAAAGCCAGAACTGCTTTGGCAGGGGGTCATTCATATCTTGGCACACCCATGTTGTCCACCTTGCCTCCAACTTCCCACTGACAAATCTCTTGTTCACCTGATATTGTTCAGCAGGTTACACGTGCAGGGATTCTGTGAGCTGTCGCGCTCTGTGCTCTTGTCGAAAATGGGGCGCCAAGTACGTGATTCAGCTGGCTCACTTGATGACAGATTTCTCAAGAAACTGGGCTTCCACCTCTGTCACATCCTCGAACTCGGCTTCCGCCCTCCGTATTGAGGACGCGTGCAGCCTTTGTTTCTGATATCCCCGATGGCAAAACCAGTGTGATTTAATTTCATACTTCATGTAGTCTAAGTTTAATGTAGAATTGCGGCAGTTAACCACGTTTCTCGCGACCTCCAAGGTAAGTCCTCCGGTTTACGGTGACAGGTTCAATTCAAAACATTTAAATCCTTCAAAAAGAAAACGCTTCTGAAATAACGTGCGGTGTTTTGTAAAACTAGCTCTAACCATAGGACGAATGGCCAAAATTCATAGCTCCAGACAATCCGTTCACTGTCGGATAAAAGGCGACGCGATAAGTTCTTTATCAAAACATTGCGTTATTATGTTCAAAAGGAGGTATGGGATATCACGGTCAAACTTTAGTGAACTGGTAGTTTGTGCTAATACTGTAAGGATGCAGAGGGCCCGTGAGCTCTTACTGTGCCGGCACTCTTATCTAAAGGGACTGGTAGTTTCAAGTGAAGCTCCCAGCGCAAACCTTTTGTAGCTTCTTTGTTTCGGTATTCTGCACCCAAAGTTTAGTCAATGGGCCGCGCGTGTCAGCCACTTTTTATGACCAGGAAATTAAGCCTGTAGCACACTCCACACAGTAACCTTAGTATGTCTATGGATAATCCGGTAACTATAATGAAAGTATCAATCGTTACGCGTAATGTGCCAAGTAAAATCAGGTGACATAGGTTGGTTGGAGATATTGTGATTGACAGGGGAAGTGGCGAGTTCAGTTAACTACCAAAAGAACCCGAGACCAGAAGCCATATGAACAACGGAACCAAATGGGGTGAGCCATGCTACCATTTTCTGAAGACGAAGGTCTGGGGAACCCATTATCATTTTTCGCAAAATAATTTACTCAGCTGCCCAAAAAGAAAACAGAGGTGAGGGCTCATAAGAGACAATGTGCAGTGTGTTACTTACTCCCGGTTATTAAAATCCGACTTATCCGTCTTACATTTCTTGTTTAAGGTGGTGAGATTTCTATGGTTGTTTGGGATAAGGGCAAACTACTAAATCAAACGATTTCAAACGATACTGTCGCTTACGGTGATCCCCCTCACAACGGGCGGTGCCGGTATGGTTAGCAAAAATAAGGCTCTCTTCTCCAGTAATCGCCTTAGATCAGGAGTCATCCCATTTATTGCGTGTGTTCGTTCTGCCGACTCATGCCGTTTTGTTCATTTGTTGGGATATTTGACTTGATTCCCGTAGATCCGGTGGTGCTTGTGAGAGCAATGGCTTTCGACTGGTCCGCTGAGCGTAAACTGCAAAGGCAACGCTACAATATTAGTTAAAATTTGCCGATTATTTTGGCGTTTTATGTGAATGTGCGGCGCGTTCGGGCTTGTTGGGCAAAATGTCCTGGGCAATGACAGTCGTTCTCTGGAATGTTGGCCGTACATGAAGCCAGATATCTTGTCGTGCCACAAGCCACTCGACCTTGATTCCAATGTCTCAAGAGAGAACCACGTACCAATCACTTGCGTAACCCATTGCTTGCGGCCATTCCCCCTTTATCACTTGAATTGTTGTTGCATCAGCCTGCAAATCGGTTTCTGAGATAACTTCCCTGTCTGTGAACTTAAAAGGAGGTGAGTTCCCCCGGGAAACGTAGTCGATTTTATACTGTTGTGATGCCAGAATACGTCAGCCAGCATCTCAAGAGGGACAATTACTTCCTAGTGACTTACTCGAAGTTCGTTACGCGTAATGTGCCAAGTAAAATCAGGTGACATAGGTTGGTTGGAGATATTGTGATTGACAGGGGAAGTGGCGAGTTCAGTTAACTACCAAAAGAACCCGAGACCAGAAGCCATATGAACAACGGAACCAAATGGGGTGAGCCATGCTACCATTTTCTGAAGACGAAGGTCTGGGGAACCCATTATCATTTTTCGCAAAATAATTTACTCAGCTGCCCAAAAAGAAAACAGAGGTGAGGGCTCATAAGAGACAATGTGCAGTGTGTTACTTACTCCCGGTTATTAAAATCCGACTTATCCGTCTTACATTTCTTGTTTAAGGTGGTGAGATTTCTATGGTTGTTTGGGATAAGGGCAAACTACTAAATCAAACGATTTCAAACGATACTGTCGCTTACGGTGATCCCCCTCACAACGGGCGGTGCCGGTATGGTTAACAAAAATAAGGCTCTCTTCTCCAGTAATCGCCTTAGATCAGGAGTCATCCCATTTATTGCGTGTTTTCGTTCTGCCGACTCATGCCGTTTTGTTCATTTGTTGGGATATTTGACTTGATTCCCGTAGATCCGGTGGTGCTTGTGGGAGCAATGGCTTTCGACTGGTCCGCTGAGCGTAAACTGCAAAGGCAACGCTACACTATTAGTTAAAATTTGCCGATTATTTTGGCGTTTTATGTGAATGTGCGGCGCGTTCGGGCTTGTTGGGCAAAATGTCCTGGGCAATGACAGTCGTTCTCTGGAATGTTGGCCGTACATGAAGCCAGATATCTTGTTTCCCCCATGTTATTGGTTCTAGGTAGTGAGCCATCCATTGTGGCATGTCTACAAGCTAGCCAGAACACATTTCGAGTTGTGAAGCTCGGCTGAAGACTTCGCTAGCATAATCAGTCCCTAATTTATGGATTCAATCCGTAAGGTGTTCGGGGTATCTGAAAAGTGTGTGGATAAGTGATGATGGGGTTGTAAAAGACTGTCAAAGTTCAGAGTGGTTCGCCAACATCATCAAGATAGACATTTTCTGACAACCGAATGGAAAAACAACCCCCAACAGATTACTTATGACAGTGCTTCTTATTGGCCTAGTGAAAAGAGCAGGACATGTATACAGTTGAAATGAGAACTGTTATTCCTCCCACATGACGACCATATTGCTCTCTAAGATTACTCATTCCAAGAAGAATCTCTCTACCTTTTGTGAGTTGTGGTCACATTTAGCCTAGTATGTAAAACAGAATACTAGTATTCGATATTTTTAATCAGCAAGAGGGACGGTAAAAATCCGCAGTTGCAATACTTCCCCAGTTCCAACCAACTAACAAGCCAAAGAATAAAAAAACGGTTTCCCAGAAGCAGACTGAAAAGGGTAGATTCTCACTACAAAGCTTAATGGGTGCACATGAGAAGGTGGTTTTATTAGCAACAAGAAGGCAGTCTATTTGATAAGCAGACGGAAAGGTAATTAGATTCCCAAATAATCGGCAAAATAGTCACGCAAATGCTGCACAAATTTTGTTGTGTGATGGAAATGCTATTCACACCAAGATTAACAGGGCTACCACCAAATTTCAAATTATCTGACTTATGATAGATGAAAAGAAGTTTAATTTTATATGCTTCTTGATTACAAAGAAAGAAAACGAGTCTGTTTCCATGTAAAATATCCACCAAGAATTCATTACTTAGTCAAAGTTTGCCTGTTTTTCTACCACTGATCTAAATAAAAGTAGATTCAGTGTCTATAATCATGTCCTAATGTCCATTTTTCTGTGGGCGTCTTCTATTTTTCGCAGAATTCTCAGTTACCTTGTCGCCACCTTCTAAATGCCGCATGCAACCAGTATCCAGACAGTGTACGCAAAGCTCATTTTTTCGACAGAACGGTGCATTTATGGTAATTTACTTGAGGGAGGAACACCACTCTATCCGAACGTTATCACCCCCGCGGAACGCCGTCTTCAGTAAGCCTACACAATTGTATTTTTATCAAAAAGCAAACAACTTTCATTCCAGATAATGGTGGAATTGGCGACATCTTAGCAGCTTCAATGGGTATAATTGCTACCACTTCGTTCACGCCAAATGGATTAGTGATATTGAGTTGCTTCTTTTGTGACCTATGAATAACAGGCAATATTTCCTCAGGCGGAAACATCCATGAAACGGAAAATGTCTGAATGGCATGGTAATCCATAACTAAAACATCCATAACACATCGATATTAATTTATTCTGTACGCTTCTGGGGTATCCCACTTGAAGCAGAACAACAAATACAAGATTCCTTTTGGGCGAAATGCACACTTTACAAATTACTTTGGTGAACCCCATCATGGGAACATCATAAGAGAGAAAGATTCAGATGGGTTCCAGGTGAGTCTCCCATCAAAACCAAACCGATATGCAAATGAGTATGTATAGAGAACATTGTATTGCTTAGGGAGACCGCAAAACTCACACTCGCTGAGACATCCGAACCGTCTATGATCCTTAGGGCCTCTATAAAAGTAGTGGCGAACGTACAATAAATAGATTTGATGGATCCCCACGACGTTTGTGCCACCAGAGTATTTCTAATCAAGGAACAGGCGGCTGTGATAGAAAATCACGAAAACGAAGGGCCAAAATCAGTCCACGTACTGTCTTCTGAACTGTGATTAATGAAAGTCAAAAGTGTGCAACCACTGAGTATCTGTATATGTTGTATGTGGACGGCTGCCAGCTCGGATACCTGCGCACCAAACCAGTATTTCAAAAGAACAAACTGAGTGACTTGATAGGGGCGTGAGAGACCCTCATTTGCGAAAAGATCAGAGGCAACTCACGGGAAAGGAATGCACTGAATGGATAAGAAACTTCCTTCAAGTGGACTTTTAAATCTCCTCAATGAACGCCACCTCGCAAAAAGAGTTAAAAGTAGGTCGAAGAAAACGACGCTTCTATAAACTCAGTTCTTCACCTAAATCATCTCAGTAAAACCATAACAGACTGTGTAGACCATGACGCTTAAACTGTACATTTGAAAACCATATGGCACACGAACAGTTTTGTTAATTGACGAAAACTGGGGGAGAATAGCATCAGTATGTGACTTTATTCTAGTGGGTTGCACCAATCTGACATCGGTACACAGTGGTTTTTGCTAAAATCCGTGCTTATGACACCAAAATCTGTCCTCAATTTTATACTCAATGATTCTAGTTAATTCCTACGGTTACAACGTCCCATTTTGGTGTGATTTGCTCAACCACGCTGTCTTATCTGACTAGCTGAAACCACATACAAATGGTGAATTATCACCAATGGTGCGCGACGTGACAGTATCGATAGTATAACCAGATAGTATAACCAGCCCGGCTTAACGGTGACAGTTATGGGTCTGGAAATTTCATCGGTAAGACAAAGGTGGACCGACGCTATCGGAACTCCCTTAGTACTTCGCTCAGTGTGCTTCACAACCAATTATTCAGAGCAAATTAGGTCCAGGTAAAACCGCTGAAACAAGAAAGACAAAATTGGTAGTGGGCTGTCAGAGTTTTCAGCAACTTTTTTAGTAGTGTATCATGCCCAGTGGAAGGATGTCGCCAGAGGTAATTGTGGTCTTGTGGTGAGGTAGACAACCCTGAATATATTTTTAGTAGTTTTTTCTTATAAGTAGACAAGAGGACCTAATACTTTCCAAAGAGAACTCTCCAAATGTGACATCTCTTTTGACCAGTTCATGAGGCGTCTTCTTCAACGATGGATCATTGGATTCGCTGTGCAGAGTAAGCCGATGGCTGCGAAGGTTCCACTCAAGCAGTGATTACGAGGGACAAACTATGGGTTGGAGCACTTGGAAACCCAACTCCTGAAATGGTGGGCATAATGTCTGGTGATATATTGCAGCAGAGAAACTACCAGTTCTATCCGACATACGAGTGTGGTTTGTTTTATTGCTCGGAGGATAGATGTGTATGAGCTTCGTCCCCGATAATAGAGTTTTACTTGCAGTCGCTTCTGTGAGTCCTCTTGTGTCTCACTTGAATTTCAACTAAAAATATCAGTCAGACATATCATGAAAATATATAGTAGGTTGTATTGAACTAAGGGATGGAGCTACCTTGGTATTACTGTCGAATTGTAACCTTAAAGTTTATTTGTGACAGACATAAAAGACCTTCAGTAAAACATTCATGCAAGATGCACAATCAAATGTAGGTTAAGATTTCGGTGTGAACACGCTCGGTATCCTAACGTAGCCAATTACTTACTTGAAGCGTTAAATGTACTGTTGGTTGGCTGTGGAATTGTCCGCTAATCAGGGCAATTTTTCGCTTCTCTTTTTCAAGTCCTTAGACACTGAACAGTTTTCAACACCATAGGAAGGCCTCACAGACTAGAAAATGTGATACAGACACCACACCATTCATCCAGATGCTCCATGTTTAACCTTAATTCGGTGGACATCTTCAGTGTGTCAAGAGACAGTATCCATGGATTAAGACAGTGCTTCAGTTTACATAGGTTGTTGGTATGAGTTGAAACGAGTCTTCAACCTGGTTGGACAAAACACCTTCAGAAGGCACCTTCCTTGCGTGCTCTCCATCTTCTGTGACGCGAATGTTCTTGAGCCCAGGAATTTTCGCTTCAATTAATCTTCCTTCAGTTACTTTCTTTGGAGAAATTCTGTATATCGGTGCAAAGGTTGTCTTTTCTGCTGTCAACCTGCCAACCTGATCAGGGTTTGGTTTACCTCTAAGCTCTGCTTATTTTCCATACTACTTGTCAGTACGCAGAAGATTTAGTAATCCAAACGTTGAATTTACGTCAAGTCTGCATGATTTTTTTGCCAGGCATATGGACTTTTGATGATCAGCCATTAAGTTCTAGGGATTAACTCAACTCATGTTTTCTTGCAATCTCCTGATCTGTCCGTTGCACGAACGCTTTGCGATTGGTCCGTTTGTATTCTCAAAGAAAAATTCGTATATTTCGTCAATAGGCCTTCAAAAATCCTCTGTAGCAATCAGTTTTCTTGTGCGTTGTCTTGCAATAGGCAGATTCTCCTTTTCACTGATTATTGATTCTGGTGACCACTGTGCAGTGGTTTTTACCTGCGTTGAAGCCAACAAAGAACGGATGACATTTTGGATGCGTCTGTATAAGAGCTTATTAGATATAAGTATCCGAGCGCCACCCCAACTCAACGAACACGTTTACGTACGCTAAGATAATTTAGAGAATTTTTGTCGCTTCACAACTTTTACAAACCCTACAGCAGGCAAGATTGAATTTCTCTGAGTAGAGGGTTGACTTATGCCTAACCAATTCCGTGAAAGCCCTTACAGGGTTGACATTAGTTGGAAGTTGCAGTGACTCTTACAAACTCAAGGCATAAGTTTTCGCGTGCGGAGGTCAAGGAAACACATGCCCGATAAGTTTACACGTGTATGCCGAGCAGTAGTCACCCAAGCGTGCAGGATGCCTACCGCTTTGAGGTTGAGTTCGTTAAGTTGTAATACCAACCATCACAACGCTTCAATAAAGAGAGGATGAGTTGAGGCAATAAACGGTTTATTTGAGCATATGGCTGTTCACTCATCCTATGAATTATTGCATAAACTATTCAATCATTGTGTGAGCTGAACATAGCTGAATGGATCTTCAGGTCCCTCATCAAGGTCAACTTCTGTGTTGGGGACTGGAGAAAACGTTAGCCACTCTAAATGTATGCAATCCGTACTGGTCAGCCATTTGCAACGAAACATCTTGATGTTTCTTCTCTTTGAATGTTAACCGAAAATATACTCTCAAAATTTCGTACAAACTCCCTTTTTTCTTGTCGCATTACCTCAAACTTCTACTCTTCTGTCTTGATCAAAATCAGAACATACCCATATAAGCTCCTTAAGGAAGAGTTGCCTTTTTACTTCCATGATTTAGCTGAGTATTACGTGATCAAAAAACAATTTATAAAAGTCTGCTGGGGAACATTTGACAGTCTTTCACACTTTCAAGAAAATAGCCGTCATCTAGCAGCGTCGGCTAGTCTGAGTATGAATATAATCTTAGACCACTTTATCAATGGGCTAGTGGATTATGGTGTACCAACGCATAGATCAGTCCTGATGAGTCCTGTAAGATGAAACATTCAATTTTATACGCCATACGACTTAATGACGAGTCTGACAATCCTGTTGGAAAAATTAGATTCATCTGCGGCTCGTTTGTCACCTATTTTTTCTTGACGTTAGAAGAATAAAACTTTTGCAATTCGTATTGCCACATAGCCTATCGTTCAAAAATGTTGAAAGACACTTGGTTCGATAAATTCATTTGAGCGATTTTCTTCCAGGGTAGGAGACTGGTGGGAGATTTCCGTATAAACAAATGCCAACTAACCCCCGCAGGATATTTTCTCAAGTGACATTCAGACACAGCAGGCAACAACCGAATACAGACATAACTAAAAAGAGAAATAGGAAACAAAACAGAAAACGGCAACTGTCAACTGAGTAAAGGTGGATTCATATGTATAATCATATCGCTCTTTAGGTACGAACATGTGATTTGAACCTAAAGATTCTGCACGACGTTCAGCTGTCGTTCACAGTCACCAAATCGTCCAAGAAGTCATGGCTTTCTTGTGTTAAAGAGAAACGAATTCAAGGTTTTTCTATGAAGTGCCACAAAAGATTTACGTTGCCAAGTGGATCCAATTGGTCAAAGCCTCCTAAGTGGGTGAAGAGCACGTTCATTTTAGAATTTCGGTCGACGGTTTGTAAAACCATGCCATTCTAAGAACAAACACATTTTTTCGTTGTCTAAGTCATGATTCATTATGGTCGTTGTTCACGCCCTCGGTTAAGCAAGGCCATGGGATCTGTGAAGTCCTCTTAGTTGTGTGCTTATGATTTTGTTCATCTTTTGAGAAAACACGCTGAAAAACTTGCTTGTAGTCGCGGCATTTGCTCAAGTCAAAACTCCAACACTCATATTTGAAATACTAGTACAAGTGGTCTACTAAGGCCTTTCATATAAATGGTGGTGGGACAAGAGGTAGTATTTCCGTTCCGTCCTCTGTAAGATTAGTCGGTAAATTGGGCGGAAAAACTGCCAGTACGAGGCTTGAGGTATTATCGGGCTTACACGGGTGTTACAGGTTCCTGTCGCCTAACTGAGCATTTAATACGACTGAAAACGCTGCCTCCTCGTGAAGTCACAAAATTCTCTATGGGGATGCCATTCCCCCGCTGAAAACCACTGATATAATGTTGGTCTTTCTTGTGGAAGTAATGCAACCAAAATTGATTAACTGCCATCATACTCAAAGATAAATGGTCCTCGTGGGTTGCAACATAGCAAAACTGGTATTTCGCTTACTGATTCCTCACTTTTTCTATACACATTGTGTGGGCCCTGGTGAAAATCACACTAGTATTGTGTAGTAAATCCTGAGCCACACACAAAGCAATAAGGATATCATCCTGAAAAGCCGGGAAGCACTGTGTAACTTTTTGGAAATCACTAGCAATGTGTACCTCACGAAATTCCAAGGAGTCGCGTACCTGTGACCTCCCGGTTAGTGGTTTGAATGCTTACCTATTCGGCCATGAGCGTGATCAGCGGTGTGACCAGTTTTCAATAATATAGGATATAACGTCACCCATCTTTTATTCACGCAATCCACGTCAGGTGGTCACACCTGTCGACTGGCTGCCCGAGTGACGGTTTCCAGATGGTTTCGCTCATCAGGTGAATTTTCTTCCGTCTGTGAAGTGTTTATATAATACTGGTAGTTTGAGGAAACTATGGGATTTTTAATGGAGATTCTGTCGTGTAGATAAAGAAAACCTACCTTGAGGTGTCCAGAGGCACTGCACAGCTGTACAGTGATTGACTATTGAATTGGTTTCACAACACCTGATATTGATGATCTTGGCTTTTAGAATGTCTCCGACAAAAACTGATAAGGTTCGCCGATCGGACGCAATCCATCCAGTCATGTGTAGTAGAAATCCCCATCGAGCTGCTGGAGAATGGTTCACTGATCATGTATGACAAGTTTAAGATTGTATTTTTTTGTATTTCCTGGCCAACCGGCAAGGAGGTACCTCATTTGTATACTATTCGTTCGTAGTTCAATCTCCCCAGCTTTAGCCTAAGATTGACCAAATTTATCACTTCCATTTTCGCAAGGGATTTCCGATAATATGTGCTACCTGCCATCGTAAATTTCGTTTGTGAGTAAGAAAAAAGCGCAGAAATATGTTGGATATTCATTGAATGCATGTCATTCTATGAACGGTCTTTGATAATTACTTCCAATATCAAAGAAAGGACGTCCTCTGATGAGAAGTCCGCCTATTTCTCTGGCTGTTGCTGAGTTTTCGAAGTTCGTTATAGCAAATTAACGATGATTCATCCGACTACAAAGCTGAATTGGGAAAATAGTAGTTTTATCGTATCCGGCAGTTCATGCAATCGAATACTATGAGCTGAGTCCGTACACATACTACCCATCCTAGATTAGGTGGAAAAAACTCGGTTTTGGATACAGCTGAGAATAAAGCACATTTCCATTTCACCCAGATTCTCTTTGGTCTTCTCCTACATCCTCGCAGTCGTTGAGTTTGCTGTTTCTAGTACGAGTTACCATACTAGATGGCTGTTTTGTCTATTACTAGACCTCGGCAGCGACATCACCGGAAGCGTGCACCTCACAACTATTGTGCCAAACTTGAACAAATCCAACGAACAGGTCGCCAAAAGAAGAGAACTGCAGAAAAACAGTGAACCAGTATATCAACAGGTAAGTATGCCATAAAGGAACAGTTAATGCACTTGTGATCACAAAGGTTCTGGGGAGCCTTGAGTATTCTAAGGGGGAACTGCAAAACTATTGACGTGGATGTAACCAAATAGACGTTGTGAAAATAAGGATCAAGCTGGTCCCCAGACGGTCTACTAGTAATTGCCAAGGTCAGTGGATGACGGCCCCGAATATGGCCATGATGGCTTGCGACCGACCACATCATCGTCTGCGACCAAGTAATTGCCTACAGATAATGGGGACTTCTTGCCACCAGTTTTAGTGTGGTGGTTCTCCCGGATCACTGATTTTAGCAGCCACCGATGTGCTCAGATGACCACTGTACCGGTTGCCATTTTTTTCGTTCTACACAGATATCACCACAGCTGCGTGCGAGCTGGCACATGATATGTTAGACAACCATTTCGTGAACCCAGACCGGTGGTGAGAACATCTATCCCGTTTTCTTAAAGCGGAGACAGGTGGACGGCTGTTGGGTGCGCCCCCATGCTAAACGGCTGTACAGTCCAGGTTATTCACCACAAGAGCATTCATTATGGTATTTTGAGGTTTCGCTTCATTCACATTTGTATTTATCAAAGCGCTGTGCACCAAAAAACAGCGACTGGTATGCTCAAAAAAAGGCAATGCAACCGATTTCAACACTTTGATATGCGAAACCTTCTGAGGGAATTCCACAGTAAACGAAGAACCCAGCTCGGTACTGGAGTGCCACGAAACATGGATACGCATCTAGTCGAAGGTGAAATGGTTAATAAACAGAGGTATTTCTTCTTCGACACAACTGCTTCAGACACAGGACATGGAATAGACCTAGGAGAATTTGGAAGTTTTAAGACAGGGACTGCAGTTCACACCCCAGCGGCTCATAGCCGAGGCGGGGGAAATTACCAAGCATCACAGGGTGAATAGATTCGTGGGTGTGGAACTGGCAAATGTATGGAGAGTGGTCTTAAATCTGAGTTGACATGTGACTGTATGGTTGTGAATGCGCGTAATTCAAGGTTAATTCAAGGTTTAATGGTCTAAAAAGCAATTAACTTTACAACGACCATAGGGTGAACGAATATACACAAAGGGACACAAAAATATGCGTAATGTTTACTGAGTATCACATGGAGTTACACAGTTCCAGATTCGGTTTGGACATAAGATATGCATCTAAATTGTTCTTGAAAATGGTTAAACTCGGCAAATGTACAACATTGGGAGGTAGGGAGCTCCAAATGAAACATACACGGACCGCAAAAAGTTCCGTCGACAGTTCACCCTCGAGTGAGGTACCGCGAGCGAAAAGTCATGCCTCCTGCCCTTTCGTGTTCGACGTCGGAAAAAAAGGTCTTCCAGCGGATGATTAGGTGTCTTCAGTATATTATATGTTAGAATTAGGTCTCCCCTGATGCGCCGATAGTAGAAGTCAAATAGGTTGAGACTGGCAATCCTGTCTTCGTATGGTTTATTTTCCAATCCAACTACCAGCTCCGTGGCTCGATGATATATTCGCTGTAGAAGAATTGTCTTTTTGAAGCCATGGTGACCAAGCTTGTATAGCGTACTCCATGGTTGGTCGGATGTGGGTATTGATTACTCGGGGCAGTGCCAGTCGAGTGAAACGACCAAAAATCCGTTTTAGGAGCGACAGGACTTGTGAGGTCCTCTTGTAGACGGCTGTGCATTGCAAGGAGTTTTTTAAACAGCTGCTGACCCACACGCCAAGCAAAAACAACTGGTGGAAATCCCAACCCGACCAAAGGTAACAAACTCCTTTTTCCTTACACAACTATCGTTGCACCATCTCATCCACACAAACGGATGAAAAGTGCAAACGACGTTCAAGAGGGATCATTATGTGGAGCAGAAGCACCAGACCCTAAGCTGGACCCAAATCCACTTAAGTTTCCCATCAACTTAACACCGTAATGCACAATATCCCTTGGCCAAAACCAAACACAGATTTAGCTTGACTTAGTTGGTTGGTTCTCCTTCAGCCTTAAATCAAGACCAACCTCGTAACTTAGTCACCTGGTTTGACGAAGCTTTTGTGTCAAAAGCGAAACGTTGCCCAGCAATTGTTGTTACCAAGCTTTTCCGACGGCGATGACTACTCACTCGGCTCCAACCGTTTTTTCTAGGAGTGTTCCTTCTCAGGTGGAGCGACCAACATTCACAGTCAGTTACTGTTTGCTGAAAAGAATCCATTCATATTTTGATTATCTTTCCAGAGTGAACTTCCAAAATATCAAAATGGTGTCCTGTTATGTATTTTATTGATGATAAAATTGTGTTAAGCATTTCAACACAAGAGCCGATAGCACGAGCCCATGAGCGCATTCGATTCCGGTTCGTTGAAACTGAAGTCCGCGATTTCAGCCACCGAACTTAGGAGATACGTGCTAATGAACCAGCAGGTTGATACAAGACTTCTGCTATCTGCCAACACATTGTTTAATTTGCTAATTGGCCAACCCGGAATTGAGATAACTAACACGAAGGACAAATTTACAAAGACAGACAGACAGACAGACAGACAGACAGACAGACAGACAGACAGACAGACAGACAGACAGACAGACAGACAGACAGACAGACAGACAGACAGACAGACAGACAGACAGACAGACAGACAGACAGACAGACAGACAGACAGACAGACAGACAGACAGACAGACAGACAGACAGACAGACAGACAGACAGACAGACAGACAGACAGACAGACAGACAGACAGACAGACAGACAGACAGACAGACAGACAGACAGACAGACAGACAGACAGACAGACAGACAGACAGACAGACAGACAGACAGACAGACAGACAGACAGACAGACAGACAGACAGACAGACAGACAGACAGACAGACAGACAGACAGACAGACAGACAGACAGACAGACAGACAGACAGACAGACAGACAGACAGACAGACAGACAGACAGACAGACAGACAGACAGACAGACAGACAGACAGACAGACAGACAGACAGACAGACAGACAGACAGACAGACAGACAGACAGACAGACAGACAGACAGACAGACAGACAGACAGACAGACAGACAGACAGACAGACAGACAGACAGACAGACAGACAGACAGACAGACAGACAGACAGACAGACAGACAGACAGACAGACAGACAGACAGACAGACAGACAGACAGACAGACAGACAGACAGACAGACAGACAGACAGACAGACAGACAGACAGACAGACAGACAGACAGACAGACAGACAGACAGACAGACAGACAGACAGACAGACAGACAGACAGACAGACAGACAGACAGACAGACAGACAGACAGACAGACAGACAGACAGACAGACAGACAGACAGACAGACAGACAGACAGACAGACAGGTAGACAGACAGAAAGGTAGACAGACAATAAGCCCACAGAAAGTTGAGATAGGTGAAATCAAGTGACGTGTTAGTGTCCCATTTGAATGGGGTGCGAGCGAACAATCTTCAAGGAGGGGGCAGAGGTCACGGTGCTTAGGCATTCAGCCAGGCAACAGCCACGCCCTGTTTCAGCGGATTCGAGCAAACGGTCAAAAGAGAGCAGATATCAATGAAACAATATGCGAAGAAGACGGAACGGTGATTCATTTCGTCAATTGTCGTCTTGAACGGTGGGCTGAACACTTCAACGAACAGTCCAGCTGAGCCCATTCAAGACAACCGCTGGAAAGACCAAGCGGAACTGAATGAAACGTCGACACTAACCCGCCATCAAAAACGGAAAACCAGCATGATATATCAACCCTACACCACTATAAGGTACCTAACGCAGATGGCCTGCACCTCCTACTCTTCAAAGGCGAGCTCCCAGAACGAAAGAAGAATACCAGGCGAATGGAGCTCATTGATCGTAATTCAGGTTTTCCAAAAGTGCGCAAGAAGGCTATGCAAAAAGTATCATGTTATCAGCCCAGTATCCGTCGCATCTAAGGTGCTCTTCAGCATTATTTTGCTCAGGTTGGTTGATTATTCGGAGTGACATATTCGCAAGAATCAAGTTGAGTTTCGCACTGACCGAGGATGCATCGACCACATCTTCACCTTATGACAAATTCTTGAACAGTACCACCCCTTCAAACATCCGACGTTCGTCGTCTTTCTGAATCTGAAGACTATTTTTTATTCTGCCGATCGTCAGAAACTGTGGCGACCGAAGGTGTCCGTTCCAAGTTTATATCCCTAATGAGGGTACTGTATGTGAACCATTGTGGGCGCGTGCGAGTATACGGGAAGTTTTCGCCTGAGTTCACCACGTCCAGTAGTGTTAGACAATGCTGTCCTCCTTCACCTTCCCCCGTCAAATTTTTCATCGATTTGCTGCATGAAATTCCTTTGCATGTCTCTGAAACCTCGGGGATCTAAGTGCTCCCGGGACTTCTCTCACAAACGTTAAGTATTCGGAGACTGCTGCTATTCTTGGCTCAGATCCTTCAAAGATGTAAACCACTGAAATGGCCTAAATAACTTTGCCGCACTATCTGGCATGTGTTTCACACCTACAGTGTGAAGAGGGCCTACAAAACTGGGTGGGATCAGACCCAAACCTGATGCTTGCAGAAGAGCCAATCGAATTGGTAGATAATTTTTTTACCTAAGCAGTTGTATAAGTTCCGGAAACTAGCTGGAGATGGGATTGTCTCTCGAATCGAGAGGGCCAGTACAGCCTTTGCTAATCTCCGACACCTATTGCGCCCACGTGACGTCAGTTTTCTGTCAAGGCGGTGCGATCCATACTGCTTCATGGGTTAGAAACCTGGCCTCGATGTTCAGAGAACATACGCTATCAGTGAGTGTTTTCAAAGCACTGGTTGAGTCTGGTGGGAAAATCGGATTAGTTATGCTGAGGTACGCCAGGTAGTCCGAGGAAGAGGGAACTCTCCTGTGATAGATAAATTAGTCACGCTTCATAATTTACGCTGGTTAGGACATGTACTCCGCACGACTGAAGATCGTTTATCTCGCAGAGCGCTTTTCACACAGCCCTGTGCTGAGTGGAAGCGAAGGAGAGGTGGATAGTGTGTGACCTGGCGACAAATTATGAAAACACTTACCAGCAAACTTAATCGGGTTGAAAACGGCCGCCTCGTTGGATGGGGACTCGAGGACCTAACTCATTAATGGTTAATGACACTGGGAGAAATGGCGCGATCGCGCGGTCAGTGGCACTTGTGCATCAAAGCTACCGTCTTCAGTGCCTAGCTACCCGTCTCCCAAACTAATTGAACATGTCATCATCCTCAAGGCTTGGTCATATCTTCCCCACTCTCCCATCGTCCGGTGGTCGAAGCTGTAGTAGGTGAAACCAATGTGCCTATGGTACACGGTTTATAACTGATAAATTGATTGATTGGTCTGGCAGTATGGGGTGAGGCATTATTGGTAATTTGGTATTTTTACCACCGGGGCGGGGGTGAAGGTTTCTTTCATACTATTTGCAGTTATTTTTCGAATAATGAAACTCCTCTATTGTCATGTGGAGGAACGTTTTCTGAGCTCGGATAGAGCAATTAGGCGCACACTCCTAGAACGCATCTGTTCTGTGTTTACCATTCACCAACAATCTTTCACCACTGCTGCACTAGATATGTTCTGTTCATTTTGTTCCAAGCAGAAACTGCAACGTAGTCGTAGGAGCTTACCAAGTCAGCGTCGGCAGCGCCACCAGGGAGTCTGCAGCATTCATTCGATGCCCGTGAATTTCGAGAAAATCGGATGGACCGATTGGATTATAGCTCCATCTGAGTACGACGCAAGGATGTGTGTCGGTCAGTGTCCATTCCCACTGGGACAAACATTTCACCCAACCAACCATGCCGTCATTCAACTTCTGGTACATCACCTAAAGCCTAATGGTCTTTCTGTACGACGCCCCTGCTGTGTTCCGAGGAAAATGGATCCGTTACATATTCTTTACTATGACGACGAGCATAATGTGATACTCAAACAGATGGAAGATATGATTGTAAACACATGTGGCTGCGCCTGAACAAACTAATCAACTATCTCAGTCTTTGTATCCACTTATTTTTATGCACACAGTCTGAATGGCATATCGTGGCTTCTGAAGTTACATCTGTTCTACCATTAGGCATATATCCCAGTTCTGTGGTTAGCGGAATTCTGTTTACTTGAGGAGCACAACCATTCAGAGCTGATTGAAGTAACTGGTTGATAGACAACTGAGTTCACCCTGGTGTGATGCTACCATGATCACTATTCGTTATAGAAGCTTACCCTAAGCACCCAGGATTCTTTTAATTTGGAACTACAATGATGAACCTGAGTCAGACAACTTTACTCACTCACGGCTACTCACCTTTCATCGATAAAACTAAAGTACGCTGTACATTTTTAACCGTTTCTGGCAGCAGTGAACCTGGTGGACGAAGTTCGCTGAATTTGTGTAGTGTATAGATATTCGGAGCCACAAGTGAACCTGCTCTAGTTACCAGTGTTCTACAACACTGCCAACCATAAACGTATCTTTCAATAGTATCCCAATTTTGAATAAGATCCCCTAAAGCCAACTCATTTTAAACTCTTATAGGCTACTGGGGCTCTGCAACCATCCACACTAATATGTTGTCAAATAGCTTCATGACTTTCCATCAAGAATCCCCACAAGAGTTGATACCTTCAGTGGTATGCGCCAAACCATTAGCATACTTGATCGACATAAAATAAGCTGGAATATCTGAGGGATTTACCATAGGATATTGCGAGCAATCGGAGTCTACTATTTTGGCAGAGTATCCCATCTTCCACCCGTATTGAACGGAACACGTCTTGATCGCCATGGGTTAAAACTGTTTTCTTGAGGCACTCAGTATGCTTCAGGAGCAACCGTTTGTCATGTGTGGTCATGTAAAACGTAATGCAGATAACAGCTAGCCGACATACTACTCAACTAAGCCCTTTGAAAGTAGCTGTCTCATTGTCTAACAGTTTTAATCAAAAGTTTTCCAGTCTCCCAACAGGTATGTTGCAAACACACCATTGTAGTACCTGGCCTGTTCAGGAACACAAGAATTACTTCATGAAAATAGTGGGCACATTTCAATCTGCTAAAGGACTGAAAGTTAAGTCGCTCGGAACCTACTGAAATCTAGGTTATCGGTACTTTCTTTTCACGAGCTGTTGCGGAGAAACCCTCTTGAGACATCACAATGTGCGTATAATGGGTATAAGACTAAACATACTGGCTGCCCCTCCCGCCCACTTCACCATCCACTGGTCACTTATCTTACCCATGCGATAACAAATCAAAGTTGTGTTTCTTGTTCGCCAAATTACGAACATTGTTCACTAATGAGAATCTCATCTTTGGATGTACACACAAATACACCTACCCACGTAGTGTGGCTTTCTTTTACCGGCCCTTGCAAGGGGTTGTCTTATCGGCCAGGAACAAAGTTGAAGTACGGTCGATGTGTTGAAATATTGGTAGCTCGGGTGAGTTTATCGGTTGTTGTTGCTGATCAACAACCAATGAAGTACAGTCCTTAAAATCGTGGAAAGTAAGCTGTCCGTCACCGTCGTTCAGGGTGTTGAAATTTGTTTCTCTCCTGGAACAGCATCTGTGCCTTTCCAGCCGCACTGGCCTTTCATTTTTTGAACTATCTGGTCCTACCATACCTCTTTGTTCACATACAAGCCACCGTTAATGTCATTTAACCCAGTCTAGTCGAATTGTGTTCCTTGCACGAAGGGACAGTGAGCGTTCTGATATCAGGTGGAATTAGTTCATGCGTTCGGAATCATCACAAGCAGGGTTCCCAGCGTCACGTATAGCCGTCGCTATCTCACCCCAGTTACGATCAATGTCCTCCAAGGTCACTTGCAGTGCATCGTATACTGCGCTCTGGTATGTTTCCTTAACACGTGGCTCACAAAGCTCCTCTACTGCTGACCGAGGAGTTAGTTTTTGGGGCTTGCCGCGACAGTGTAATGAAAACCTGTACCATACAAGAGCGTGGCCTGAATAGAATAGTATTCCAAAACAACCGAGTCAATGATTGGTCCGCACCAACTGATGGAGATCTGGTCAGTTTGACTAAAACCTGCTCGGCGGTGGGGAGACACCAGGTAAAATCACGTCGCCTACTGCATCTAAATCCAGCACTGCTGAGAAACCATTGGTGATCAGTAAAGTCGCAAAAGATGCTCATCATTATCATTGATTTTTGCCTTAAGACTATTACCGAGGCGTGCTTCTAATGAATTGAGACCTCCTACCGAAGTAGAAAGCCAGACAGCAAATCGGCGGCTGTTCACGGGTACCATTCGAGCAATGAGACTTCGATTCGAGAACGTAGGACTAAAAAACAAGAGTAACACTCGCTGCGACAGCTTCAGAATCGCTCAAAGTTCGTATTCCGTGCCGTCTCGATAGAGAGAGTATCGTAAGCTCAGCAGACGTTCTTGGATTCTGTCCTCGAGTTCCAGGGATGCAGTAAACGTCAGCCAACAAAGTATCCATGGCACGAGTAGGGCCGGCTCGTCGGCCAGTCTGCCTAAGCGTGCTCTTGTTAAAGTTTGCAATAAAAACGGAAGAACGGTGCCTGGATAGGGGAGGCATAATGTGGCGTGTAGTATGTCGAATCCATAGGTGCCTGACTGAAATACATGCAACTAGGTCTACATAAGTGACTGGAGTTGAGAGGTAACAGTGAGGAAGGATGGGGGCGTCAGCAATCGCATGTTTTCGCTTATCCGTCTTCCTGATGTCACCGCATAAACCGTCGACGTGTCACGGTGGTAATTTTACCTGGAAAGTTCACGGGTGTAGGTTGGCTGAGATACTGCTGCAGCTCCCAAATCTAGACAGGGTCGTCAAGTAAAACCTAACCGCCAGAGAGCAGTAATTGGCTTGAGACTACTCGAGTAACCCAAATCTTAGGGAACAAATTGTCACGCTTGTTTTAACCTCAACCTGGAGGGTCAGGAGACTGTTTTTCAGACCTCTATCTACTGATAAACAGGACCAGTTGCTTTACGAACATCCCCCAGTTCAGCTCATTGAGGTACGCGAACCGTCGCATAACGACAAGGTCCTCTTTTCAACGGAGTACAGATTTGAAACGCGCAAAACACCAGGGAGTGAATGAGACTCGCTCACAGAGATTCACCATTTGTTCCTGTATTTTACGTGGGTCCTCCTCATCTTTGCGATTCAATTATCGTAATAGGATGCACTCATGATAACGTTGTTGCTTATCCTCTTGTTGCTGATTTGGGACTGTTCCAACCTGGCCTTGGAAGTGAAGCGTCTTCCTCAACTTAAATATTATCAAATCCGCCAAATTTTACGCAATCGGACGTAGAAGATACACAAATTCTGTACTCCTCTTCAACAATCACAAACAAGAGGCATTGAATGCCTCGCAGTCAAGCTTGTGCTTTTTAGTCAGATAGGTAACTGCCATACAGAATACTTTTTCGTTACCTTAAACTTGTATTATTGTAACTGCATTCCACGTATCCTTATCATCTTCACCTCTGGTTTAAGGTAGTTTGCTGAAGGTTGGCTTTACCGTCATTGCAGGCTGCGTCAGTCTATGGCCATAAAAACGGGACTAGAACAAGCCTCAATTCAAATCTGTTGTCTCCTGAATCCGAGACTGTAAAAATCAGTCTATGGCCATAAAAACTGTTGTCTCCTGAATCCGAGACTGTAAAACAGTGGTTATTGTTCCGGCCATCGCTGTCCGAAATGTAAGCACCAGGGATATTGGCGTCAGTCTGGACCCTTCTCCCTCAATTGTTCTGTTATCTATTTATTCTGAGGCTTTAATAAAATAAATTGACCTGGTTGTACGGCGTTTCGGCACCAGTGTTCTTACACTAATGTTGCTGTTACTATTGATGATACGACTAACCGGATTACAAATCGGTAATATGATATGTCCTGAATTTTTAGTATTCGAACGACCATTGTTAACATGATACATTATTTTCAAACACATTTTCGAATGCGTTCCCAGGAGTGAATATGTTGCAGTATCCCGAGATGTTCCCCCAATATGTTAATCATCAAACAACACCGTACTGGAAATGGACTTCCTATCGACGCAAAACCCCACTTCTGGCCTGGCGAAGAATCTTCAGCAACCTTATGCTCCTCATATCTCTGACTTCTTAGATCACAGCTTAATCATGTTCAGGGCCAACGTGCACAGAACTTCATCATTACCAGCACCTCTGAATACATGGCAGTACTTTTCCGTGGATCAAAAGCATAGGTTTTCACTCTTATAAATGCTACGTTCCGGATTATACCACCAAGTTCCGGCACTTGTCCCAAAGTGTATTTGGGAGTTTTCCTTCAAGACGTTGTGCTTTCAAACTACACTAACAGAGTTCTAGCTTATGACTTTTTTTGCCCATTTTATACAGCGACGAGGGTGAATCCTACAATCAGGAAACTGCCCGTAAAGGCACTGACCAGTTCACTAGAAGGCCTCCTTCCCCCGAAAAGTTCGGAAGCGACTACATGGGCAAACGAAAATCGCATGTACTTTTCCGATCTTACTGCTCTCTGCGGCTGGTGTAAGTCCAGAACCAAAAAGGTAGGGCCAAGCAATCGCGTTTATGACTGTTAGTCATCGTTCCTCTTCCAATCAAACTACTGCAGAGTTATCTTTCACGGGTCACTGAATACGAATAATCAACACTGAACCCCAAAATTACAGACGTTTTCGAAAAGGAGGATAGGTCAATGACTTTATCCTAGGTGGCCGGTACATGTAAGTCGCCCTGCGTGACTCATGAGTGACTAAACCTAAAAGGTTTCCAGCTTTTTCCCATTTACCCCTACCCAGTTACCCGATAAAAAGTCTTCAATGCGCTGAGAAAACATTTCTATACAAATGATGATAAAGTAATGCATGCAAACTGGAAATTGACTCGTTGACCGAATCTGATTCATCTACTTCGGTTCCGGGAATCGCTGAAGCAATTTGGTTACTTGTGATGCAGGCAGCCGCCTCGTTTCTTCGTCCCCGGGTTCCAAAACTCCACTCCTTCTGAGTTCTCTGTCTTTTGCACGTTTGGCCTGATGAAGTTTTGCAAAATAAAGTAAGAATTATGAATACCTCGGCGACTTGGACGCAGGCTTTGAAAGCATCAATGAGCTGTGTGCATGGTGCTTCGTCAAAATCGTGGTTCTTCAAGCAGCTCAGCATAACAGTCATTTCTCCAACGCAGACGGCTCCTACAGAAAACATCAGTGCGCGTGAGGTAAACACCTACGTGGCTCTTTCTCTCCCCTGCCAGAAACTTTGTCCTTCAAAACTGGTTCACGATAATAATCGTATTTATAGTGTTCCATATGGGGAAATCGTGTGGTTGAACGTTTGTAAAGTCGTTGGCATGCAGTAGACATCTTCATCTTGATGAAGTGAGGAACACTAGAAAGAAAAATGCAAGGAATTAGAAGAGAAACAGCAGAAATAGGCCGGAGACCTTTCATCAGGGGAAACCGTATCAGCACATGCAGATTGAATAGACATAATTGAATATGCATAAGCTACACGATAAGGTGAAACTCGTCTAAAATATAACCCGTCACTAAGTAACACAGGTGCCTGTTGTATATTTGCTGTTTTCTCAAGCCGTTTCAGCTTTCATTGCCAAATCACTTTTTATTGTTTTAGCTCGCGGTTTAAACGTTGAGGATAGATACAGCCTAATTGCCGGGCCCTCAGTCTCTTCCGTTCTTACTGAGATGGTCGCCCCACTCAATCCATCGTCAAACACAACAATTTATTCATCCAAGAAATTTAATCGAACGGAACGATTCTTAAGTCCCGAACGGTCTGACACCGATCCCATTACCCAAGGTCCAGCAGATATCCGAGAGCACTGGTTTTGTATACTTGCAAATTTCCTTGATTCCAGTCACCAAATGAACTGTGCACTGATGTTTGCAAGTTCATTAGCAAGAGCAGCGAACAGATCAGCAGCCACCTGATCAACAAAAAACGAACTGAAAATCTTGTTCCATTATGTTGCTCCTAGTATTCACTACTTCACCAGACTGCAAGAATTATGAATCCGCTATTGCAACCTTGCGAGAAATTTAAATACAACCGAAAAGTGAAATATTCGCCCGGTGTTTTCTGAATACCTGTAAGACAGAGATCAAAACCGCGGTCAAACTGCAAAATCTTCGCAGTTTGTTGTCATATTTTCGCTTTAGGGCTGTCAGCGCAGAATAACACAGCGACGAAGCATTACGAAGTGCATTTATTGGTAGACTTTATCCGGATACTATACGCCAGAGGCTATTGGAACATCAGTTGCTGGATTTGAAAATCGCCTACGACCATACAAAATCCTTCAAACTAGCGCAAAAACAGTCGCAGTCGTTTTTACTGAACAATTTCCCTGTACTACCGTATCGAACGACCCACAAAGGTCTCCACGTTCTCAAGCATCATCGCGCGAACAGATGACTGCTGCTAGTATGGGGTCTTCGTGTTTCTTCTGTGGCTATGCTCTTCATCCGCGTTATAAATGCTCCGCTAAAGACGCGACATGCGAAAATTGTGGTAAGGGCATTTTCAAAAAGCATGCAGACGTACAACCGGCTGAGGAACATCTCATCCGTTTTAAGTGCACTATCTCGCCTCAGTACTGCGGCCCCCGAGTGTCTCGAAGAAGCACTGGCCGATGTGAAAGCCAAAGGCGTTTCACTTCAAGCTCTTGATACTGGTAGTTCAGACAGTTTGATTTCTGAAGATGTGATCGTAATCAGTGGCCTGTACTACCATCATCATCTGATATCACTTTGCTTTCCATCCAGTACAAAAGCTGCTCTCCTGAACATTTTTAACAATGAAACATAAACAAAGCATGTACCCCTCTTTCAAGTTATCAGTATTATGTGATCCGTCTGCGGATATTCTACTTCATCTTTCGTGATACCACCGGGACTGATACAGCTGCCCAGGTAAACAAATTTTTCTACTACCTCAATCGGTTCATCCGCAAGCATGAGGCTAGGGTTCGAGCCCACCCAATCTTGCAGTAGCACTTTACACTTTGCAGGTGTGAAGCGCATGCCGAACCGCGAGGCAGAATTATTTAGATTATTTAATATTGTTTGCATTACCACGGGATCAGATCCCAGAGGAGCTATGTCGTCTGCGTACTCGATATCTGTGGGCGGAGGCCCAGGGAGCAATTCGACCCCACAGGCATTAGAGGCTGGTAGTGCGTCTTCCATGATCGTATCGATGACGAAATTGAAGAGGAAAGGGGAAAGAGGACAGCCCTGTCGGACACCACTTTATGTGGTGAACTCAGGAGAGAGCTTCCCGTAGACCTTTACACGGCCGCAGGAGTTGGCGTACAGCGCCGTAATGAGGTTCAGGAATTTATGGGGGACACCTTTGCTCCACAGACACTGCCATAGTGCTTGGCGGTCCACAGAGTCAAAGGCAGCTTT